ATCATTGCGCCAGAAAAATGGCAACAACAACATCAACAACAACAACATCAACAACAACATCAACTTTAATACCAACAACAACATCAACAACAACAACAAAGTCATCAACAAAAACAGCAACAAAAATAATAAAATTAATGGTAATATCAACACGATTGATTGTACTAGCAATGTTGACTGTTGTAGCGACGATAATTTTAAAACATTATTATTTCGCAACAACAACAAAAACTACACCACTACCACCACCACCAACAACAACAACAACAAAACCAATCACAAACCGGCTACCGTCAACAACATCGTGAAAATCGATGACGTCACGGATGACGTCACCGCCGATGACGACGGCAGAACGTCGCAACAGTCGACAAAAAGTTGTGATCTGGGATTCGTTTCTATGAGAAGTTGTAACTCTCGCCAGCAACAACATGAAGACTACTCACTAAAGACGGAACAACAGCAGCAACAACAACAACAACCATCCAATAGCAACAATAACAACAACCATAACAATAATATAAACCATAATAACATCAACAACAACATCAACACCAACAGCAGCAATTCAGTGGCCACCTCCTTGCACTGCGCTGCTCAAAACGAGACAACTTCATTCATAGACGATTTAGAATCTTCGGTCGAGATAATTATCCAACCGGAAGTGTTTCAAACTCAAAACAAAAACCGGAAGTTAAGTGTGCCACTTCCGGCGGCGGACACAGACTGGCCGGTGATGGTAGATTACGAAGCCATGCCGAGTTACCAAAGATACCAAAGTACTCCTGATTATTTGGCGCTGTCGTCAATCAAATATTTTGGCAGTGAAAGCACGGAAATTGGTAATGCGAATGCAACCAATAAATTTGCAACGGTGGCCGCGTCTGTTGCTGCTACAACTACAGCTTTCGCAGCTACTACAACTACTGCTGCTGCTACTACTATATCTGTAAATGTCGTTAATAATAAAAGAGGCATCAGCAATTTCGACGAGGATGAAGATCTTCTGAACAACTATCAGAAACATGTCTCAGACGACGATCGCAGAGCAGACGCCCAGCAGGGATGCATGGAATATTCATCGGCAGATGAAAGCAATTCCAGCCAGCTATTTGAAACCGCCACCGACTTTGCCATATCGGCGGTTCTCACGGATATGGAACTGCTGGAGGACAAATTAGCGGTCCTGAACAACGATGTTCATCTCATCAATGGAGAGGTCGGTGTGCTGTGCAGGTTGCATCGGCGAAACAACTACTTTTTTTTCTACTGCTTGTTTGGTTTTCTCCGCTTTGTTTTTTTGTGCAGTGTGGTTTTGTTTGTGTCATCTTGGTTAGCGATGTTATAAGATCTTTTATTGAATCTATTGATGCTGTTTTAAGCATTTCATTCAACAAGTCATTATTATTGTCACTGTATTACAAAATTTTGTAAGAATTGAACCAGCCCGTCAATCGAACTGACGCACACCCTACAGGTCGAGTACCTTCAAAAACGGGAGGACCCGAGAAAAGCAGTGGCACGTAGATACACCCTCGGGACCACTGAAGCCCTCACGGACAGGAAACGGAAATGGGCGCGTCAGAAATACGTCAGACGAAGTTTGAATGGTGTACAGACATACCATAGATTAAAAAACGAGCGAAATAATGCAACGAGATCGAAGAATGTCGTCGATAATGCGATAAACATGGAGGAAGATAACGACGCCGATAATGATGATGACGACGACGATGACGATGGTGGTGGTGGTGGTGCTGGCGACGAGAGGGAACTTTCAGATGTCGTTAGAAGATTGGCAGAAAGTGCAGATTTCATGTGGGATTACAGGACGGATTTTCATTATATTCCCAGAAAAAGCCTGTCTAAAAAAATGGACGCCAACCAAAAAGATGACTCTGTTTTCGGTGATGGTGCTGACACGTCGTCCTCGTCGTTGCAGTCACTTTCGTGCGATATCAACGGTGAGAAAGCGCCAAAAAGAGATAAAAATAGCGTAGTCTGCAGTACTGTCGCTGTGACGCCCGTCAGGCACCAACATTTTTCCGACGACGAAACCGTTAAGAAAAAAAACTGGAAGAGGATGAGATGCGAGTCGAAGCAGTGGGCCTCCAACACGAATCTGAATGAGAAGCCTTTCAAATGCAAGTCAGAGTCGCATCACGCTCCAGGCAAGAAGAAGTTAAACATCACCGATGATATTTACATCGATGATGACATCATCTCTCCCGGATGTGACGTCATCAAGAGTGAAGTGGATGGAATTGAAAACCAGGTAGAAATCTTTATGACAATATACCTGAAGGGCATAATAAATGAATAAATAATAAATTAATTAATTAATTAATTAATTAATATCACTATTTTATAGTGATAATTACCTTTTAACATGTTCTCACAGATGACGAATGCTGGTATGAGATGTGACAAGGCTGTCAAGAAGAGCAGGGGTTCGACTGCCAGCCCAGCTTTCACTTACGACCAATGCCCCTCTTCTAAT